AGCTACAACACTGTTGTAGAGGAAAACATTGGGAGGAAGTAGCTCAGGGCTGAAAAGGCTACAGATGCGGAATAAATTTGCCGCTCTCATAGCAGCTGCTGCTACCTCAGTTTGGTCATAACAGGAAGTCAAAGCATGCTCTGACTGAGACCAGTTTAATCTAGCATAAATATGCACTTACTGCTGAAAGGAGTGGTGCCGTTCTTCTTTCCGTGGCAGTTGCTCCTTCTTTCCTTCCTTAGCATGAATGCCTGTGCTAGAACATACACACGATGAGCTGGAACAAGAAACTGGTCCAGCTGAAAACTGAGGTAATATGCAGAAGACATTAGCTATCTGAACTTTCAAACATGTCTAAGACTTTCATAGTGTTATTTTAAAGAAAATATGATACTTGTGACATTTCCACTTAGACTGAGTCAAATTCATATGAAGTTGCTGGGATGACAGACAGGTTAATTGAAATTATTTCCCTGTTTGGCTGCTAAGGAGGTAATTAAAGTGGATTCTTGCTTACTGTGACCTGGCAATATCTAACAACTGTAATGTGGACGTGCTGCTTTCAAGGAAGGGGTGTGTTAACCTAGGGACTCACTAAATCCTTTCTAGAACTATGTTTGCATGGGTTGTTTTAGTTTTGTGGATGCCTTTGGATAAGGACATGTGCTGAAATTGTCTCCCCCTCTCAAACGATTGCATAATATAAGCTTTCAGTAATTTGGGGTGCTGACCTTGAACTGGTGATAATAACTAAGCAGTTTCATATTCAGCTGTCAAAGACTGTTTTTTCTGGTCTACCTACCTTCATCTAGACATTTTAAGTTGTTCTTTGGAGACTTCTATGGAATGTAGAAATATAAAGAAAATCTGATTTAACTGAATTTCTTTCCATTGTTTTCATCAAGAGATATGACAAGAACTTGCGCAATCTCAAACACGTGGTAACTCACTGATAGGATTCTATGTCTCTTGTTCCACTTGTTTGAAGCATTTAAATAATGAATCACTCAGGATCACTGTCGGTGCTTCAGCTGTGGTTTTTTGGTATATTGACCTTAGTTCTACTTGGATAAGTTCATCTTACAAAAAAATGGGTCTCCTGCACAGACTTCCACTATGGAACAACACCATATTTTAATTACTTTCGGTATTGGGATTTTAAGCATTTGAGAAGGGGAAAAAAAAAAAAAAAAACAAACAGTGTAAACATCTGATCTTTTCTATGCTTTCATGAATTTTTTTCATTTTAACCAAGTTGAAACAACCTAGAAGGTGGTTTATATTCAGTTTTCATTATGTATGAATGTGTTCTGCTAGAACTCATTCATCATGTCCATATGGACATAATGTGAAGGATCAGCAATCAGAACTGATCTTTCATGTTATTTCAGTTACAAATAAGCATGTAAAACTATGGGTTTGATTTCTTTTAATGTAATTAAGTACATACTGTTAACTTCAAACAGAATAATAAGATTTTTTTTTAAATTATTCTACATAAAAGCCTATCATCAGTTTTATCAGGCAATCTAGATAATTCTTCCAACTCATTCCTTTTTTAAACAAAGGTTCTGTTGCAGGGACCTCCCAAAGACTCTCCAGAACAAATGCTGATGTGTAAAGTTTGTTGAATCTTCCTGCTACTTCCTTGTCTTCCTCTAGCCTTCCTTTCATGATCCATAGTTGTCAGCAGAGCCTGCAAACTCTCTGGCAAGCTTTCTTCTGAGGATTTTTAGATTTTATTACTTTATTGTTGATCCTTTAAAAAAAAAAAAATCTGTAAAAATAAATTTATCATTACTATTCATAGACCTGGTGTGTTATTTCTAAAATCCCTTTTGGCTTGTCCTACTTTAGTTTTGAATTTCACTTACCAGAGTTCATCCATTTTCTGTTTTTTTTTTTTTTTCCCTGGGGATTTATTTCCAACTTTGGGAAATATCTTCTGGAAGACGTTTTTATTTTACTGTTTACTGTGACAACTTTGGGGAGACTTTTTTTAAGTCTTATGATTAGTAGCATGAATTTGTGCCAAACCTTCACTTCAGTATATCTAAACACATCTCCTGTGAGCATTTTTCCTTTTGACTACTATTTTCAATATTCTTTTAATAAATGCCCTCATTTTAGCCAGTTTGCTTTTTTAAAATAGCATTATTGTGGTGGATTTTGGACAGAGGAGGGCTGTCCTTGCAACTTCTTTTGAGTCTGAATATATTGCGGTCTCTGTAAGTGCTGCTTCTGTGATACAAAGGACTAGCTGCCTGTGCATTGTTTAGGTCCAAGTCAAGAGTTACTCTTTCTCTTGTACATTCTCTTGCTCACTGATCCAAGAAGCAGCTGTGTATGCTGTTCAAAAGCTTCATATCAGCTTTAGTCCTTCATGTGTTGCTTATTGCCACATGGACTGACTTTTCCCCAGCATTCCCTAAGTAACTGTTTAAACAGTATTGGTCCCAAGCAAGCCGCACCATGTGTTCCTCACCATTGAGAAGTTTTTTTGCCTGCAACCCAGTTGTCAGCTACTTTGTCATTTGGGATCCCTAACCCCAAAGAGAGTATTCTTTCAAGGAAAATGTGCGTTACAGGCTTAACTTTCTCTTAGTAGTGTGTTATGATAAGGTGTTAGTTTTCCTCATAGTAAGCTTGCTTGTTGTGTGGCTTTGATGATTAGTGAAGCAGAACTTCATAGAACATGGTGCTTGAGATATTCAAATATTCAAAGAAGTCAAGTACATGAGAATTCTCTGAGATGTAAACCTAAGGAGCCACCAGCTTTGCTGTCAGCTAGTGGTCACATAAACCTGAGGGCATCCAGAAGAACTTTCTCAGCAAGTTTTTCCTTATTATAAAACCACTGTCTTGCTTATCTGGCATACAGAGCTAGGAACCTCTCAGGGTTAATTGAGAGTCATTGTGCTGGTCAGTGCAGATTATTTTTTTCATGTAACATGACAAAGAACTTCAGTCATTCTGGGATCAAATGTTGATTTTTACTGTTGTAACAAGTGATGCAAACTCTTAAATACACAACACTGTAGGTGTGCTGCATGTACTGCGGATAGGTTTCTTATCACTGACTTATTTATACAGTTGCTATTTGAACATTCTAGTTTAGCTGCCTTTCTAGGATGATACATCTTTTATATGTTCTTTTGGGTTTGGTTAAGTAACTTTCTTATAAACTGTCTCTTTTTTTCCTCTTTCAGATATTTCTTTTGATTGTTTTCATGTGCATAACATTACTGATTGCTAGTCTTATCTGCCTTACCTTACCAGGTAAGTCTAGTACTGCAAAACTGCAATTAAAAACAACTCAGTATGTTGCCATGGTCAATAATGGCAGATGTTGTGAAACCATTGTTTAAAGTTAAAAGGAGAAAATATGGAAAACTATGGCTTATTTTTAATGGTACATCATCAAATTTTAACAGTCTAAAATCTAAATTATAGAGATAGTACCTGTATTTAAATTATAGAGATTGCCATTTCCTTTGTTTTATTGTAGAATAATTTTCTTTTAAGGGCAGGGCTTCAAGTGCTGCGGCAATCTCTGTAGTAGTATTGAGAGAATTGATACTCTTGCACCTGCTTTACCATTTAGAGAAGGCAAATATATAGCTTGTTACCAGATCTTCTACAGTATGTTCTTTAATTAAATATTCTGAAGGTGTCATCATGACAGGTCACTGTGAGGCTTTGAAGTGATACACGTGCCACTTCCCAAATATGTATGAATAAATACTTTAACCAAATCAAAAGCACTTTGTAGGGTTTTTTTAATAATTTGGAACAAAGCAAGACATGTAAACTCATTTGAATTTTATGACCTAGCTATTGTAGTACCACGTCATTTTTACCTCCTTGTATTAATGATGATAAAGTCAATGATGTGTTGAGATCAGAGTTATGAATTTTGTGATGGTTTTAATAGTAGTACATAAAATAATTCCACTATAATACTAGTGAATAGAAACACTATTAAAAAATGAAATGTAGTGAATGAGTCTCCCATTTTTGTTGGAGAGCTTCAGAAGCTCCATCTTAAAAAATTATATGAGGCAGTGAAATAACCCAAACAGCTCATAAGATTTAAGTTCAAGCTTATGCACTAATCCATTGCCTTTGTAGTTTTGGAGATGAATGTTTAGGCTCTGAATAGCACAGTATTCAGTGCTTTGTTTTGCTGTACTTCAGATCACATTGCTGGTGTAATGAAATTTTAGAAAAAAAAATTCTACATATGTATTTGGCATCATCTATGTAACTATTTACATAGTGCTTCACACATTCATGCCTTATGGGTATAGTATGAAAATACTGTTTTATGCTGCGTACTATTTGTGCATTGATATTTAACAGTAAATTTGATATGTATTTTTAATAGGCATCCTTCCTTAATATATCAAAAAGCATTACTCTATTTAACAGTGTTTGTGTTTTCAGTATTTGCTGGCCGATGGTTAATGTCATTTTGGACGGGGACTGCCAAAATCCATGAACTGTACACAGCTGCTTGTGGTCTTTATGTCTGTTGGCTAACTATCCGAGCAGTGACAGTGCTGGTTGCCTGGATGCCACAGGGTCGTAGAGTGATTTTTCAGAAGGTCAAAGAATGGTCTCTCATGGTGAGTCTTAAGAAAAATTTTTACTGAATTATCGGAAAAGTAGTTAAGAAAACTTGTTTCATTTTTCGCAGGTTTTACTGTGTAATGTATACTACATTTTCAGACCATTTTGAAGCTTTTGCAGCTTACAGTTACCCTATGCAATGGGAATGTATTTTTGGAAGCCATTTAGCACAACATTAAGCAATCCGTTTTTTCTTTAAAAGTGAATATGTTGCATTATATTATCCCATATGTGATGTGTCCTCAAGTACATTTATGTTTCACATACACCTGGAAGCTTAACTGTTACTTAGTTAACAAATTGACATTATCAAATAAAAAAAATAGTAAAGGTGATAGATGATGATGAATGTGTCTCTACAAAGTAGCTTGCTGCGTATTTTCAGAAACATCTTTATGATTTGTCAGATCTTTGTGTTGATCAAACTAATGTTTTTAAAGACAATATCCTTTTTTATTACCAGGAGTTCAGATTCTTACCATGGCAACAAATTTATATCCCACCTTTTTATCTTGGTTGTGTTTTGAGGATTTCTATAGTAGATTTCTTGCCTAAGCATAGTAATTTTAAACATTCATAGCATAAATGTTATCTTGTGATGGACATGCTTGTGTGTTTATTGGACTCTTACAGACAGAAGAGCAGTGTAAGTATGTATTTCATGTATTACCACATTTCCCAAATATCCATCGTTTTCATTTAGGAAATATTAAGTTTAAGAAAATTCAGAGCTAAAATGCAACGCTCTGCTTGTCCTTTGTCCTTTCTCCTGATCATGTTAATTAAGTCAGACTAGTTTTCTATCTGATTTTTGGATGATGCATGTAAATTAGTTCTAGAATAAAGAAAGATTCAAGTGTGATATTCCGAGTCTTTCATTTTTAAAACAGAAATATTCCATAATGAGTGAATTTTTAAGGTTTGTGTTTCACTGGAGAAAAATCGGCAGTTTTGGAAAGATTCTTATCTAATTTTCCAACATATAAGAATACTCAATGTAATGAAGTGCCATTGGATAGTATTCCCTGCTGATAACAGTCAAAAGTTATTTTTATGGTTTAAAACCATACAGACACCAGTAGCACAGTCATGCCTTTATTGGAGGGGGCATGGAATAGGACCCAATCTTGAAAACTTGCATTGCAAAACTATGTATGTAATAAAAATTATTTCTAGGGGTGTATATGTATGAACTAAAGGCTTTTTTTAGGCCTTTTTTAAAAGGTAGGCTTTTGTCTCCAGCTTTATCTGTTTGTGTAGTTTAAGTTACATTTTGAAGTTTAAACAAAAAGAATCTTCTGATAAACATTTATTAAATGTCTTTGGTTTTTTAGATAATGAAGACATTAATAGTGGCTATACTGCTAGCTGGTGTGGTTCCACTTTTGCTCGGTCTTCTGTTTGAACTGGTCATCGTTGCACCTTTGAGAGTTCCTTTGGATCAAACACCTCTCTTCTATCCTTGGCAGGTCAGTTGCTCCCATTCTTCTTCTGCGGCTGATACATTTCTTTACTTAGAAGTTAGAGGTATGGGAGTTCTTGTTTCACGTTGATTCAGTGCTTCAATGTGGCAGAGAAAAGACAGCCAGTCTGGATGTGAGGATTATTTAAAACAAAAGGATATGCCTAGGAATTTTAAGTATGAAAAGCTGAAATTTGGGGGATGACATCAAAGGATCTTTGCATTTTAGTGATCAGATAGATGCTTTTTTCCGGTAGCAAAGTGAGGTACAGAAGTTAGTATAGCTGTATGTACCTATGCACAGAGGTATATATTCTGTCTGACCTTTTCTGGAAAGCTTTCTGCCTGCAGTTATGCAGCAAGAGGTTCAGCTGCTCTTTTTTTCCATACAAGGTTTTAATTCAGTGATGATACACACTATGAATGAAATTTTGATATGCTTTAGGATCATTCTGGTTTTAGGTTGAGATGTGAAATCATTAATACAAGATTTTGCAGTAGTACTGTGTTGTTTTTTCTTCAGTTAAGTCTCACAGGTTAAGGGAGTGCAAACTTTTTTCCTGCAAGTTGGTGGAAGAAATGAAAGTACAGTGGATTGAGTGACAAATGCTTGCATCACCTAGGCTGAATTACGAAAAAGAACTTGTAACTTAGAGAAACCCTAACTGAGGGAACCAGAACTCAAAAGATCTAGAATGCATATTACTAAATAACAAGAAAGTGTTCAGGGACAGTGATTTTCTAAGCTGTCCACAAACAAGCTTTTATTTACTTTCAGTATCCAAATGTTTGAAAGCCATAATACAAAGAAGAATTTGACTGCTAATTTAAATATTCCATTATTTTATAATACAAGTCTACTTTGGAGGTGTCTGTTTAAGTAAATGATTACTAAGTCAGGACATCATATGATTGCAGTGGTAGATATCACAGTTTCCAAACAGTTTTGGAAAGAATTTGTAATGCTAGAGATTCTAAAAATGCTTAAATTTTGCATGTTAGTTCTTTAAAAGTTTGTAATTAAATATACTGAAAGACTTTATTTTCATATGGCAGAGCTTCCTCAAAATACCCAATGAGAGGGATTTGAGACTTATTCTCAATTTCAATAGTTCCTCGTTAATTTAGAACAACTTCTTTTTTTCACAAAAGGGAATATTTATACAAAGGTTGCCTGCTTGAGCAACATGAAGCAACTCTAACATTGACTTGTTCTGTAATAAGTTTAATTTTTGAATGTATCTGGGATAATAGACGTTAACAAAAGCTGTCTTTTTAAATAACTGGTTGAAGAAAATATATTTCCCCAGCAGTTTAAGAACGTTAATTAACCTATGATGTCTTAAGTCTTACCAGTTCTGTAGCTGTTTTTTTCTGCCTTGTCAACCTATAGTCTGCATTCTATTTTTTGTGGGGTTTATTGAAGAATCTCTTACAAATTTCTGTAATCCAGAAAGGATTGACTCATAATGTGCAGTGTTTACTAGAAGCCTGTAGTTATATTGTGTTCTTTTAATTCCATGCCATAATAATTGCAGCATATGTTAAAGCATAAATTTTCCTCTGAACAGTATGACGTTCTTTCGTGAAGAGCATTGCCTTGCTTTGTTTAGCTTTTGTCACATCAGGTAGGGTTTTGTGAACAATTAAAATTTAAAAGAAGAAAAGAAACTTGTTTCTTGACTTGCGTGACCATCTTTATCTTGTTTCTCTTCTTTTTTTAAAGGAATCAAAATAACTTATTTCTAGGTAAATGTTAACAGTGTTAATTAGTTCATACCAGAATGTTAGTCTGTTGCTTTAAGTGTAATGCTTTTATTTTGTATTTGGCTTTGGTTTAACAGTAGTAGCTGATTTTCCTGGTTCCACAGAGCTGAGTATTTTACAGATGTCAGTTAAGCTTGGGAGCATCCTCTTTTTCTTAGGAGTTTGCAGAATATGTCATCTGTTGTAAACAATGTCCCATGTAAATAGAGAATTGATTATCTTTTCCCTCATAAGTAAATTAACAACTTGCTCTAAAAGCTTTTGGTTGTCAAACTATTTAAAAATATGTTAATGCTAACTGCATTCTTACAAAATTAGGACTGGGCTCTTGGAGTTCTGCATGCCAAAATAATTGCTGCCATAACACTGATGGGTCCCCAGTGGTGGCTGAAAACTGTTATTGAACAGGTAGGAAAAAACTGTGCATGTGAATTATCTGTATAATACATTTGAATATTTTTGATTGTGAGTCAGAAAATGGAGTTACTGTTGTAGTAATGGAGTAATTTGAGTAACTGAGTAAAACTCAACTAGTCTTGTAGAATTGTTTTAAATTGTATAGCCTAATCCATTAAGGTACACTTAACAACAAAACAAAAATAAACCTCAGAAATCTGAAATCAAGAAAAAGCTGCGTATACATACATGCAATTTTATCATGTTTGTATTAAAGTGAGAGACAACATTATTTCTTCAGATGAATTCATGTGTGTCCAAATACTGGACATTATTTATGTCCACCACTCAAGAACAGAGAATTTCTGCCATCTCCAGAGCTGTAGAGACTCCCTCAGTCATACATGAGTGCATATGTGTCCTGGTTTTGGCTGGGATAGAGTTAATTTT